CTTTTTCGTTTTGATTACGAATTGATAGATATCTCAATGAACTATTTCTAACGACGTGAATTTATTATCATTAAGCATGAGGATGTTTTTTTCTTGTTTATCAACACATGGAATAAAAAGATTAAGTGCTTTGAAGCACGTGTACATTGCTTTTCAGGTTTGCTGCGATGACGACAATTGGTACAGTACAGTTTTTTGAAAGTACAGATATTTATTGGCCGGGTTTATTTCAATTTATCTCATACCTAACCATCTACTGAATGGATTCACAAGAAAAATGGAAAAAAANGTTTGTACGGTTAAAATCAGTGTAATTGTGTAGACCGTTGCCACATTCATCATTTTTGTTACACCATTGTGATAATAAGTGAAGTTTGTTCCTTTACCTGGGCTCACTCTATTTTATTACGTATCTAACTACTAAATCGCTTTACAAAAAAAGAGGGGATTGGGGACAATGTTCAGATTAGCAGCAGCACACTCGTGGACATGTTTTGCAGCAGACTGTCTTCTTGACGACTTTGACAACTGGTCGATAGCAGACTGTTTTGGTGACGATAGTTTTCTTGCGTACACAACATGGAGCACAACATGGATCACAGCATGAATCACAACATGAACCACATCCACATCCAGAACTACAGCATGAGCCGCATCCACATCCAGAACTGCAGCATGAGCCGCAGCCACAACCAGAGCCACAACATGGGCCACAGCATGGGTCACAACATGGGTCACAGCATGGATCACAACATCCACTTTTGCAGACGACTTTGCTTGAACAACAGACTGGCATGTTGAAGTGATTGAGAATGTGTTGTGTAGAGAAAAGTAGAGGATGTTGAGAACTGGTTGATGAAATGATGAGAGAAATGGCGAGTTTATATACAGATGGAGAACGAGAGGAACGAACTGAATGTTTTCTTTCGAACGGCACAAACAACATACATTTGGCTTGGTGTCATAGTGCATGTCATTCACATACGATTGGAGAGATTTGAAAAAAAGATAAGGTGTTGTTCGTCAAGGTTTGATATTTTGAGAGGAGCAGTACGAATATTAGCATGGGTGCCGGTTGTTGTTCTTCACGGGGCGGAGAGCACATCAATATTTAATTCCACACTGATTT